TGCCTTCTTTATATTTTGGTATTGTGTGTGTTGTGTTGTGTGTTGGCTGAGACTTGATGGCCCTAAGTGTCATTACAGAGGCAAAAATTCTTGGTATGAATTGACCCTGTAACAGTAAGGGTGGTGTTTGGTAGGGTTGATTTGGAGGGATAGGGAGAGAAAAGAAAAGAGAGGATAGTATGAGAGTGTGTTTAGGTGGCTGAAGTAGAGAGAAAAGAGAGGATAGGGAGAGATAGAGAGGGATAGTTATCCCTCCCTATCCCTTATATGTTTTCTCTTCTAAATTGAGAAGATAGGGAGAGAAATGATAGTGGAGTAAGTTATAAATTTTTAATACCCAAAATACCCTTCACAATCCACATACAGAAAAGTAATTCCATTTATATCCCAATTATATAATTACTAGGGCAACAACCGATAGGATGTATAGCAAGCATTTTCCATTCATGGGCATAAACATTTTACTAATTATCCATTTAAATCAGATCAAGATCCAATTGGATGTATAGCAAGCATTTTCCCATGTATAGATATTTGAGAATTGCGCCATGACCTTTATGAATTTACCCACTTCAGCAATTCATCTTCTATAATCTGGATCACTTCTATCCTTAGGACAACCACAGCTTCCATTCTTATAACCCTGGGTCAATAACTGCACTAAAAAGAGTGTTTTTTATAGCCACCTCAGTTCCAATATTAACCTTTATAACATCTGCTTTTAGATTATCTAACTTAGTTAAGTGTTGGTTCCTTAGTCTTCTAACTGGAATCTACCGCAACCTATTGGACTACAAAAAAAGTTGGCAATAACCGCCCGTGTACGAGAAGCTATGCATCTACTTTCAATTTGAAAAGAAAAAAGAAAAAGGTGTAGGGTGATGACCAGCATAAAGGGTAGGACAGTAATTTGGTCACTATCCTTTATTTTCTTTTATCTCCTCTATCTTATCCAAACAAGAATAACTATCATTTCTTTTCTTTTCTCCCCTATCTATCCAAACACGAATAGAATTTATTACTATCCTTTCTTTTCTTTTCTTTTCTCTCCTAACTAATACTATCATTTCTTTTCTTTTCTCCCATATTTATCCAAACACACCCTAAGGCTTCGTTTAGATACACATGAGAGAAAATGAATGAAAGGATTATAAAAGAAAAGAAAAGAAAATAAAATAAAGGAAATGATAGATATAATAATATTCACGTTTGGATGGATAGGAGAGAAAAGAAATAAATGGGTAATATTCTTGTTTGGATGGATAGAAAAAAAAAAAAAAAAAAAAAAAAAAAAAAAAAAAAAAAAAAAAGGAAAGAATAATTTACCATTTTACCCTTCTCTCAACCAAGCTTGCCCTTTCTCTCAAGGTTGCTTTTGTAATTTGTTCCATTTCTTTCCAAATCCTTCCAAATCTTGTCAACTTTGGAGGGATTCCAAATGAGGGATTTGAAGGGATTGTTATCCCTCCAAATCTCTTCAAATCCTTTCTTTTCTCTCCTATTCCTCTCATCCAAACACACTCATCACTATCCTTCCCTTTCTTTTTGTTGGACCAGGAGGGGGGTGAATTGGTCAAAAACTTTTTCTCAATTTGAACTCAATAACAATCAAAACAAGTAAGCAATAAGAAAATAATAGAATTTACAAGGAAACTCTCTCAATTAGGGAAAACCTTGGTTCTTGGCCAATGCCAAATCAATCATCCACTAGCTGTAAAACAAAATACATCATAGCAGATGTAAAACAATAAACACAAGTCAATTATCAAGCCTTACAAAATACATCATAGCAGATATAAAACAATAAACACAAGTCCTTCCTACAATTGAAATAGGGCAGACAACACAGAATAACAATTTACCCTTTTAAAACATCAATCTGCAGCACTTAAGGTTTGAGGGGTAAAATAGGAAATTCCTCTCGAGATTCATTTAATAGCATCATGCTTAGTCTTCATTCACTGTGGTACTTATGTTCATACCATATAAACACCGAAGTATAGCATGAGAGAAGTATGCAGAACCAAGACAACCCTTGTTTTAACCAAAAACACAGTTTAGGCCTTAAGGTTGAAAATTGAAAATTGCAGCAAACCAATATTCTGTAACAAGATCAACTTCAATAGTCTACATTCATCAAAATACACTTGCTAGCAGACTAAAATCTCATATTATAGCAAGGCATAATCAATCAGTGCTTGAATCCAAGAAAAACTCAGTAAATTAAGCAAAACAGGTGAGCTCACTGTCCAAATTTGATTTCAACATGTTTTCAACAAAACTTTGTACTGAGCAAGTGTAAATAGTTGAATTATACCTGTGACGACCTTCAGACTAGACCACAGCACCTTAGAACTCAGATTCACTGCTTAGTTCAGCCCTTGCAGCAGCAATACAACAACAGCAGCATCTCCTCAGTTAATACACAAACAAGGCTTTAATCAGTGAGGTTTTATAGCATGAATCATCATAAAATCACTCAGAAAACAAGCTTATTCAATACTCTTGAGACATTATTGACTGCAGCTCAAAAACTCATTCTCTCAAAGGGCTTGAAACCCTAAACTCACTATAATAGCATATATATAGCAATGCTGAATGCACAAGGTTTCATACACCCAATAATTACACCTGTCAACTTCAGGCAATGATTGATAGTGCATAATTCAAATGTTTTCAGAGGAAAGAACCAATTACAGCAAGACAACTCAGCAATTTTGTCACTTTGCACACCTGAAATCATACATACACAATGTACAGCTGTCCATTTGCATTTTCCTCCAGACTTAGCCTCCAAGAAATTAAATATTCTTGCATATACCAGCTCTCTAGGACCACTGAAATGTGTCACACTCTTGAGCAAAGCTGGAAAAGACCATAATGCCCTTAAACCATATTTAACTCTTCTCAGCACTGTGACAAACCTGAAACTGTATTCTTCACAATGCAGGTCCAATTAAACCAATCCAGTGCAATGCAACTACCTGAGCATACGCATATATATTGAATACAACTAAGAAATGACAATGTTACCCCTGAAACCACCTGTAGTAACTTTTCATGAGTTGAGACCTCACTTATCAAAGTAGATAAATAGGTTTTTGACAAATAAGACCTTTGAACCTACTGATAAATAGGTTTTTGACATTAATGAGGCAAACAATACCTAGGGAACCTTAGAACCAACACTTTTCTCTCCAAATCCCTCTAAAGTAGTGTTTGGCTAATTTTTTAAAAGAGCTTTTAAGTCTTAGAAGAGCGTTTTGGAGAAGCTGGGTACCCCCAACTTTTCTTAAATGCTCTTTTTTTAAGACACGGGAAGCTGTTAAAAGGTTTCATGAAACTTTCAAAATACCAAGCGTGCCTTCCATATTTGTGAACACAGAATAAAATATTCTACCTATATCCCTATATATGTAAAAAAAAAACCTAATCGCATCACAGATTGTCTCTTTTATCTGGTTCACAATTTCACATAGCAGCAGGTTCCTCCTCTTTTTTTTTCTCATCCTCAAGATTTCAAAGCTAGGTACTCCATATTTTTTCCATTGGACAAATAACTCCTAAATACACTCCATATTTTTTCCATTGGACAAATAACTCCTAAATACAATATTATTTTAAGTTTTATCATGAATCAGATTTGTTAGATTTTAACAAACGATGAGTGAGAACAATATATATATATATATATATATATATATATATATATATTGCTATTGTTATTGCTATTGTTATTGCTATTGCAATTTATATTTCAATTCATTCTTGATTTTTGTTTTTTATTTTCCCTTTTTCTCATATACATTACCATCATATGTTTTTGCCTTCAATTTTATTTTCTCTTAGCTTTGCGAAGCTGTGGGTATATATAGGTAATATATGTGTATATTTTATATGATTTACTTAATGATAGTTACGAAAATAAACTCCATGAGTTAGGTTAATGACTCTTTCAACTTGCATAACCACAGTCAACCAAAAAATACGAAGAATAAAGAAATCTTTTCGTCTTTAGCTTTTTTTCTCACATCGAAATTGAATTAGGAAATACTTTCCATCTTTAACTTTTTTTTCACATCAAAATAAACATGTATATAATGGCGTCCTCAGAATCTTTCTATGGCAACCACGATGTACTAACCAAAAAAAAAAATCCTTCCATTTTTAGCTTCTTCCTTTTTTCACCTCAAAATTGAATTGAAAAATAGGTGAACTTATATGTAAAGCGTTGTATTTAAAAAAAAAAAAAATTCCTTTCATATATCAATTTCTCAAAGCACAATAGAAGAAAGAATTTATAAAATGAGTTACATATATTATGTTAAATAAACCGAAAAAAAGAAAAATAATTAACTATATGAATGACTTCCTTATAGTGAAATTAATAATAAAAAAATGTAGAAGAATGTTATTTAGATTATTTTATAGACAACAACAACGTAAAAGAAATAATTTTTAAATCATTTTCATGTGTAACATATTTTGTTCTTTCATGAATGATATGTTTGTTAATATCATAGTTTTGGTTAAGAGTTGTTGGAATGGTCATTGTTTGGAACCTTATTTCATCTAAGGGCAAATTAGTTATATTAGTAGTAGAAGAGCTTTAGTAAACATTTTGCCAAACAGACAAAAAAAAGTTCTTCTAACATTAAAATCTCTTCTAAAATGCAATTCATAAACACTATCAAATAAGTTAAATAAAAGTGATAGCTTCTACTTCTCTTTTTCTTCTGTGTAAAAGTATAAGTAAAAATTATGCCAAACGAGCACTAAATCCCTCAATCCAAACGAAGCCAAAGGGATTTGCATCAAATTTTCAGCCTTATTGATGCATTGTAATTATTTTTATTTATTCAATCAAATGAAAAAACCAACTTTTAAAATAATCATTTTGTTAATTTTGGGATTTATTAGCTAGGGGTACGTGATAATCATAGGACACTCAAGTCAAAATGTCAAAACAAGCCTTTCCTGATGGTGCCTTTGGGGAAAAAGAATAATTAGGGTTTTTATAAGTAGAAAAAATAAGCATGAGCGGCATTGGAAGAACAAGGGCAGAGCATTTGGTAACAAGTAGCCGACTGGCCGTTCTGATCTCTCATTTCTCTTATAGTCAACTGCGGCCTTCGATGGCTTCTGAGAAAGTGGCTGCCTTAGCAGCCGTTCCCTCTGATTCTCCTACAGTGTAATATCTCTTGACCCATGTTCTTTGTTGTTCTCTTTCCCCTCTCAGTTCTCATATAAGATTTGTTTGAATTTTTTTAATTTTTATTTTTGCTGGCTCTCTCTTTCGATCATTACTAAATCTTAAATTTATTACCTGATCACCCAACTATTATACGGCATTAATCTTTTCCAGTATCATTTCCAGATTGTCTGAGTGCTTGATTTTGACGCGGGATGTGCATATGGCCCTTCAGAACATATGTTTTATTAATTTTTAATATGTTATGATTTGGCATAAAAGGATTAGGAGGGATTACCTTCTTTTACTTTCAAGTTTTCATTGTTTACTATCTAAAATAAATTATTAATTAGGCATAGATGTAGCGAATTACCTGAATAGATTTGACTGTGTTTATAATGTTCAACGATTACCTGAATAGATTTGACTGTGTTTATAATGTTCAACGTTTAATCCAAGTATCCTTAAAAAGTTCATAAAATCTGAAGACCAAAGAACTAATGTTCTCAAACTTTTCGTCTTCGTTATTCAAGTGGTCATCATGCCCATCAATATCTTCTTCTTTGTGTATTGCATGATGCGCATCCTATAATGTGCCATAGTATGATGTTGTGCTTATTATTTTTTTTTTGTATAAAAGGCCAATCCTTGTCATAGTGATCATATTGTATATTTAGTAGTATAGGAAATATGCTTTTCAAAACAAGCATAGATATCTTCGAATATCATTAGACTTCACAATGAAACAAATGGTGAACAGTTTTGATAGTGTTCTATTGTTAGTCAAGGCTTGTGAAGTTAAACCATTGGTGGATATGTTGTTTTGTTTCATAGACCCCTACCTTGGGTCAGCCCTCATGTTATCAAAAGAATGACTTTGAGACCCTTCAACCCTTATTATAACACCAGAAAACCTGATTCTAGTACTACTTGCCCCAAACTTAAACAGTAGTTGCTAATTAGACAACTTGGTTTTACACGAAAGCATGTAGATAAGCATGAAGTGAGTGCTCCAATATATTGGGAAGTGGGAGGTGGGAGGTAAGAAGTATGTATGAAGTATTAGAACAAACCTATGTGATGAAATATATAGGGACTCATTTATTATCTAGAAATTAGTAAAGAATTAACTAACTTAGTAGCTAATAATTTTTTTGATAAGAAGTTAGTAGCTAATAATTAAAAGGTAATTGCATTACAAAAGGCCGTTAGGAAGTATTTTCAAGGGCTAAAGATTGTGGACGTGATGTAAGTCCTCTATTGCAAGTTTTCTTGGTAGCCTCTTCTATAGGCATGACTTCCAATAATTGTGCAGTAAACTTTCTAAAAAGCAGAGTGTTGTGATCTATGCTACATGGACTCATAAAAGTAGGTGAAGTATTTGTCTCACACTTTTGGCTGAACATGCACCTAAAAAAACATGTTAAAATATTCAACTTTATTATTCTTACTTCAAAATGAGTTAAATGCCTATATTGAACACCATGTTACATAAATACATTATTTTATTCTAAAATAAAATAAATAATATGAACAATTAGTAATGTTTATGCGTCTTTCAGTTTGGGGATTTGACACGTTTGACATGTGGATGCATTTTCACATGCCACACATACCCAAGTCCATGTAACCGCTTGTAATTAATGGAAGCATTGTGCTTTAGTTCCTTCAGGCAAGAAGCAGGGTGACATATATTAACTATTACTTTGGGCATCATATTGATTGCTGAGAATAGATAGATTAGTTTGGTAATGTTTATAAACCTTTAGAATTAAACAAGTATTGGTTACTAGTTTTTGAACTTCCAACTCTGATTTCAAGTTTGTCTTTTATATTTTTTATTTGGGTTCTTCTTTTTACTTAGTGTACCTACGCAAATTTATAATTTGCTAGATGCATCAAGCATTAATATCTTATCTTGTAAAATCCATGAACTTTCTTTCGTCTTAAGTAAATATTCCAAGTTCTCAACTGAATTGAATTAATGAATGATGTGTCGCATAAATATTTATTAAATTTCCTTTCATATTGCCACCCAAACTTGAGCTGTATCTCTTGCCACGTCATAGGCTTACATGTAGGGTTCAGGTCTCAGTTTGATACATGTGCATGTGTTATGCTCGTTAAAGATAGAAATTATATGCCGATAACTTTGCTAGGATTGTTAGGCATAGAGAAACATCCGTTAGCATATATGATACTTGGATGTTGTCTTTGAGACACTCGAAAGTCATAAAAACTATTTCTTTCAAGGAAGAGAAAAGGATGATTAAGGAAGAGAAATTGAATCCCAAAATGTTTAATTATTTACGAATAAGATGTTTAAAGAAACAAATGAAATTTAGTAGACAATACTAATTTAATGTAGAATTAGACGGTCAAAATTATTGAAAGCCTTGGGGAATCAAAAGAAAGATTACCATTATCAAAGGAAACTTTGTGGTGGAATGAGGATGTCCAAAGCATTGTAAAAACAAATTGGAGTGTCATAAAATTTGGCAAAAAACTAGAATCAAAGACCTTTGAGAAATAAAAACATGTAAAGAAAAAAGTTAAAAGAGTGGTGAGAGATTTAAGTATATAGCATATGTTGACATTTGTTCTAAATGAGGTACAAAAGATGCTAAGTTTACAAAGAGAAAAAGTAGATTTTAACAATATTAAGGGCATCAAAAGTGAGTATCCAAAGGTCTTAGTGAAAGGTGGAAAACTTAATTTTAGAAACTGTTAAAAAAGGCATATAAGAAACATTAGCTTGGAAAAGCATGGCAATTCTAGGGAAATTAAAGAAAACAGTTTTTCCCGCGAGTCTAGTACATACGAGGGAAAAAAATACGTTGAGATAAAATTAGGGCTGATGACATTCCTATTGAGACTTGAAAGCGTTTAAATAATGATGGCTTCACTTGGCTAACAAAATTGTTCGATATGATAATAATAACTAGAAAAAGGCTAATTTGTGGCCTAAAAGTATTCTAGTACCTATATAGGAAGTATTAAAAAATGTTCAGATTATCGAAGTATTCAATTAATGAGTCATTCAATCAATTTAGATTTATGTTGGGAGGTTAACGACGGAAACTATATATTCACTGAGGAGATTGATCGAATTATATAAAGTGAAACTGAAATATCTACATAGGTTTCTTGCAGATTTGGAGAAAGCCCATGATATGATTCATGGAGATAATATGGCGGGGTTTTAGATGATAAAAGGAGTTACTAATATATGATGAAACAATGACATCAACTATAGGAGAAAGAAGTGAATTTCCAATTACATAGGTTCACAATTAACTTGCATCTTTTTATCTTGATGGTGTCATCTTGATGAATGAAACTAGTGAAAGGATAAGTGCTACACTTGAGGTTCAAAGAAAACTAAAGAATTAACAGGGTTTAAGATAAGTAAGACTAAAATTAAAATATGTGGAATGCAACTTTAGTAAAACTAGAAATATAAGTAGGGATGCAGTGAGGCTGCCTAGGCTCAATTATGTATAGAGTGACGAAATTGTGGCGATATTAATCGTAAAACTTAAGCAAGATGGTTGTAACATAGACGTGCTTCTGGTATCTTCTCTGATTAGTGTATACCTCCAATATTGAAAGGTAAAATTTTCAAAACAACTATTAAGCCAGCCATGCCTTGCGAGACAATATGTTTGGTGGCTAAAAGAATATATATTTCATAAAGTAAGTGTGTCAGAAATGTGAATGTTGAGATGGATGTGTGGCAGACACACACAAAAAAAGAAAAAGAAAAAGAAAAAAAGATTCATGTAATTCAAATGCCAATAGCTGCACCTATTAGGAGAAGTAGCATGGTCTTTGTTAAGGGTAATGCTAGGGAAAAGAGCATTACCAAAAGGTCCAAAAGTAACATGGATTGAAATAGTTAGGAAAGATTTTGCATGTCGTTACTAGGATTACTTCTCTTATGCTTTAAATTGCAAGGGAAGATGTTGGAGCTGGAAATTTCAATTTAAATATTTTCATTAGGAGGTTCATACAATTTATCTATCTATCTTTCTTTTTAATTTTTATTTTTGTATAATGTGCAGATTTGACAAAATCATTAACAAAGAAATACCATCTAATGTTGTTTACGAGGATGATAAGGTAATGTTGTGTTATTTGCCCTATTTGATACATTTTTATTGGTAGAGATGTTTTCTATTTGATGTATTGTGCTTTGTGAAACTAGTCCTAGGTTTCCTTGTGCATAAAAGCTTCCTTGGAGAACAATATTATTCTATAATTCATTATAGACATATCAAATTGTTAGGGGCGTGAAACTTTCAGGCATAGGAATCTTAATTATCTCGAAATTCTTATGAGAACTTTGCTGCTGCTTTCTTACTTTGGATGAAAAGTATGTATGACATGGTATTTAGTAGGAAAAACTTGAAGACAGGTGGCTTCAGATTACTCTTATACATTACAAGCTAGACCATAAAATTTCCTTTGCTTTGACATCGGAATTTGCTGTAAGTTGAGTCTGTTTACTAAAAATTAACTTAATTTTGGTTATCAATGCTCTGAAATAACCTAGCATGCAATACACCCTCTTTATTCAAGCAAATTCTTGTGCTTGAATTAGGTCTTGCTTAATAAAACAGGGTTATAAACATATTAGTAATTCTCAAATTTCATTTTGTTTTAGGATAACAATAGCATTGGTAACTGTCTTCTTGTGTGTTCTAGATATTGGGTGACTTCATGTTGCTTTCTTCACTTTTGTGGTAATGTTTGTCAACAATATATCTAATTGACTAAATTATAGGTTTTAAAGTGATCAACATGCTCTAGCCTATGTTTTCTCTTTTGGTGTTGTTTTTCTTGGCAGGTTCTTGCCTTTAGGGACATAGCTCCCCAAGCTCCTACACATATTGTGATAATTCCCAAAGTTAAGGATGGCTTGACTGGTCTATCTAAGGTATTTCTCAATAGCTTGTTTTCTTATGCCTTTTTTTAGAATGACTTGATAACTTTGGAGCTTTTATGGAGGAAATGAAACGAGAGCCCACAAATTGCCTTTTGTCCCGACTCCCAAGTTTCAATTTTGAATATGATGTTATTTATTAATTCCCACCCCGCCCTGCTCGTTTTAACTTTGATTATCTACTAGGTCATGTCAACAAGGCTTCAAATTCAGAGAAGTTCACCCAAATTAACTAATTTTCTTTGAGTTGGTAATCTAAGCCAGAGAGTTCTATGAAGCAAACTGTATCGAAATTGGTAAAAATAACAATATAGCTGGGGTTATAAGAGTAATCAACGGTGAAGAGATACCAAAAAGTGAGCTTCGTTACCTAGACTCAATTAATTATTCATGTAGAGGAGGAGAGTGGAAATGTTCCTTGTATAGTTAAACATGACAGCTCAATGGAAGATAATTAAAACATGACTGTTAAATGGAAGAGTGTTTCTAGCATATAATGCAATCAACATATTGTTCTAAAATTAAAGTTAAATTTAATCAATTGTTACTATTATGACACAAAATGTTGGATTACTAAAAAATATGTTTGTAAAATGAGGGTGGGAAATGTGTGAAAATTGAGATGGAAGTATGGTAAGACGATAAAGAACTATAAAGGACAATTGAAAACGAATACATTCGTCTAGCCGCCCACGTGGCATACATTGGAAATATTAAAGAAAATTGATGCACCAAAGATTAGTAATTGCACCATGAGGAAGAGTGGAGTGATCAAATTGAGGGTAATATAGGGGAAGATCAATGTTAACATGGTTGAAAGAAGTCAAAGATATGATATAGTGTGGCTTAATTGGTAATGTCTGAGATTTATAACTCGTTTAGCATACCTTTTCTTTTTGCTTTTAGATAGTATAAGAAGAGAAACAGAAGCTATTAGCAAAATCATTTCAAGATGACAAAACGGAAATTTGGCAAAATATTCATCCAAGCATAAGCTCTGTTGCAATTCTATTCCAGATGGCTCCCACCTTACTATCGTTTACTGTCAACTTAATATCAGGCTCCTCAATGTCTCTCAGTTTCTTCTTGTTATTCAAATTCTAAGTCACTAATAACCCAACACCCCCCAAAAAACCCCACCCCCTTCTTATAAAATTGTGGAGAGCCATTGAAGCGGTAGCAATGCCTAGTTGGTTATTATACTCAAAGTTAGATATGTTGGAATATTCTCCCTCTAGCCTTACATACACAAAAATTCACTCTATAACAGTTAGCAAGAAGGATGGTGCATGATAATCTTTTTTGAGAATCTCTATGTTGACTATCATGAATTTATCAAATTTCCAGCCCTCTTTGTTCAAATTTGTTTAATTTCTATTTCCACCTCTCACTTTTTTAATTGCAAGATCAATCTAAATCTTGTGTATCCTTGAATCCATAATGCTATTGTTTTACTTTTTCCTCTCTCTCAATTGTCATCTAATATACAATAATAGAAGCTACACTTTTAATAAACAATTTGCATTAACTAATTCAAACTGCAAAGAAAGCAAAAAAGAGACCCAAAGTTTTAAAAAACCCTAAAGAGAAAAAGAAAGAAAAGGTAAGATAAGGAAACCACAAAAATTTTCAGGAATATTTTGTTCACAACGTCTACAATTTTTGGGGGCACAACATTTAACCATGCACCCTGCACAATTTGCCAACACTTGGGAGGACTTCATAAGTTCTTCAGCACAACTTCAAACTGACCAACCAATTAAGCCTATAGAACTAATATAAGGACAAAAAAAAAGGGTGTAAGCTAAGGGAAAGCCAAACAAGAGCATATCAGTAAAACAAAGTAGAGAAGAATTCAAATTTATAAACTACAACAGCAAATCACCAGCAAACCACTAAGAGAACAAGAAAAAGACGACATTACAAAGGATGCCATAAATATCTTCAATGAACAATATGACAATAGCACCAAAGAGCTAAACCTACTGATATCCATTCCATTTTGCATTGTTCAGATACAGAAAAAGCTACAGCCTCCTGATATCTTGAATTCTCAATACCTAATTACAACCTCCTATGGTGAACTTCCCATTACTCAAATACAGAAAAAGTTACAACCTCCTTCATTTGCCCCATGATTCATTAAAATAAATCTAAAGAACTCGGCGTAATCTAAAGTGATTTGACCTTGATCATATGACCACTCTTTAACATCTGATTAGACTTCTTTCACATTCCTTTCTTTCAAGCAATAAATCTTTTTCAACTCATAAATCTTTTTCAACTCATAAATCTTTTATTAACTCTATATACTGCTAAAGAATCTCAAATTCTTGACTTTGTAGTTGTTTTAAGTCACTCAGATGTGGTTGGCATTCAAAGGACAACCAAAGAATGGACAAATTCTATTATTTATAACAACTTTGATATGATACATTGTTGCCAATTAAAAACCACATGTTACAATAAAATGGATTATAACAAGGAAAAATATAACTTCAATAATCCAACAATTCAGCCCAGTGGTTTGCAATGAACAGAAGACCAAACGCTAGATTTGAAGCAGAATAATTGTATCAACAAAATTTTGGGAAAAATTTTCTGTTAACTATATAACCAATTATACAAGGTTTTGTAGAAGAGAAGGGATAATAATATCACCACCTCGAAAAACCCTAATATCAAAACAGAAGATTGTAACCCAAATTGCTAGAAATGTGCGTGAAACATAGTGCAAGAAAGAGGTTGACTTTACCGGAGTGAGAAGTCAACGAGACAATAGCGAGATGACAACAATCGCAGGTGAGGACCACGAACAAGGTGCTACTGCGGTGTTTTAAAAAATGGATTTTTGGAAGTTACGTCAGAGTGCCCAGCAGCTTTGCTTGTTTTTGTCAGTCCACTGGCTTTGGCTGTTATCTGGCTCTGAAAGCTAAAAGCAGCTTTTCAGAAGCCATTCCAAACATGGTTAAACACGATTCAAGTTTCCTACCCTAAATAGTTAAACACAACTTTGTGGAGTTGAATTTTTTATTTTCCCTTTTACTTTATTATTATTATTTTTTTTTTGTGTCGTTTGCTTTTGTTGCCAATTTATTATTATTATTTTTTGAATGGCAAAGCAAACACACAACCCCACTACATTTTGTCCCCATCTGGGATCGAACACTCAACCTCCCCTCCCCATCTAAGGCTTAGCCTATTGGTCTTTTACTGCTAATTTTTATTGTCTAATGGATGAACTGTTTTATTTTTTTTATTCATATGTTTAATTACAAACATAATTAGTCTTGCCTACTACTTGTAGAATGATTCAATGCATTGTTGTTATTGACTATGTAGGATAGTTGTCAACAACATTTTTTTTTTTTTAAAAAAAAAAAAAAATGGGAATTAGAAATAAGCTAACTCTTTGCTTCCCAGGCCGAGGAGAAGCATTGTGAGATTCTTGGATACCTTCTTTATACTGCCAAACTCATTGCTAAGCAGGAAGGCCTTGAAGATGGGTTCAGACTTGTGATCAATGATGGTCCAAATGGATGTTCGTATTCTTTCTACATTTTCTCCAACACCTTAAGTCATATATGTATAAAATTAATTGTTTTCCCAGTCATTTTGATGTGAAAATGTTTTTGACAGGTCAATCTGTTTATCACCTTCATATTCACCTCCTTGGGGGAAGACAAATGAACTGGCCCCCCGGCTAAGATGAACTAGTGGACTTCAAAACCTGAGACTCGAGAGGTTTTGCTTGGTGATCGACACTTAATGCATCTTCTTATAGCTGTCTCTTCTATATGGTATGCTTATTAAGACAACATTGATGTCATTGTAATAAAAGATTTTTTAAAGTGAACGAGATCTTGCATAGTGCAACAACATACGTCCTAGTGTGGAATAATGATAAACTTGTTTGTGGTCACTAGCCGCTACGTCATGGGTTGTGATGTTGATTGTTTGGACCCATTGCCTGCCAATATTATTACGGGGGGTGGTGCAATCTGATCGACGACTTTACTGTTAGATTTTTTTTTAATGACCATTTTACCCCTATGGTGGAAAAAATGGGTAGGCCGAATTAGACCTGTGGATGGTTCGAATCCATGGTTTTTGGATATTATGAGAAGAATAGTGAAGTCAGATTTTCAATTTGGCATCGTGATTTTCGTATGTGCAAAATTACCATTGTCACTATGCTCGGTTTTGATCCCAAGTGTACATCGGTCGATGCCTATAGTGAATTTTGAGCTTTTCTGACCCTTTGATTGTGTCGGTGAAGTCAGATCTTCAATTAGACGGTCCAATTTTGAGAAATTGCAAAATTATTATTATACCATTGTTCCCAATTTGGGGATCCTAAGGTGGGATTGGAGCTTCTCTCAACTCCCAAGTGCTATGGTGGTGTAAGATTGGTAGTTATTAGTTCTTATTATTTTTGTATTTATTGTTATTACTACTATTATTGAATTTATTATTTTTGTTATAATTATTACTACCATTATATCTATCAATTTTGATTGATGATTAACTATCCAAAGCCAGTTTGGGCTGTTGGACTTATGTCCGAGCGAGGACCATCAACTTTGTCAAATTTTTATGATTAGATCAACTTTATGAATTAATTTGGGTGTTCTGAACACAGTGCCATATTTTCCTATTATGACCATTATCCCCCTATGGTGGAAAAAATGGATCCCTAGCCCGAATTAGTCTTGTGAATGGGTCAAATTCGACTTCGGCTTCTCCTTCATAAAAGACTTTTTTGAAAAGTAGACTTGATGCTTTTTGGACATTCAGAGAAGAATGGTGAGGTCAGATTTCTGGTATCACATCCGGATGTTCTAGGTGCAAAATTATCATGCCACTATGCTCAGTTTTGATCCCCAATGTAGATAGCTCGATGCCTATAGTGAATTTTGAGCCTCACGAATCTCTTGTGCGGATTGGCGAAGTCAGATCTTTGATCGGTTCAATTTTGAGACAAGGAATAATTAATTACAATTGTGCCACTGTCCTATTTCGGTATTGTAAGGTGGGTTTTGGGTCTCTTTGAACTCCCAAGAGCAATGGTCGGATTTATGATCCAATGACCCGATCGTAAGAGATTGCAATATAATGGGTTTTTGCCATTTTTTGCTATCTTGGTGATCAGTTGCCTCGGGATGCTTCATGCGCAAATATCCATGTGGATTTTTAAGTTTTGGGATATTTTGGATGCAACGGTGAAGTATATGGTTGGCGAAGTATGGTTGAAGATCGAATGTTTGGGATGTTCCTAGGTGACACTCACTGGTGCCGGTCCTCTGTATGCTTTAAACTGAAAAGGGTAGGGACAAAAATGAGGTGTCTACAGTTAGTACTATTGAAATATTATTGTTATTATTATTCTTTTATGGGTAAATTACAAGTACTGTACCAAAATTTTAATCCGATGCTAACTAGAGACTTTAAAATTGTTACATAAACCTGAATTCTTACCCAAATCGTGATTAATTAAAATAAAATAAATAATTAATTAAACAAACAAATTGCACATAAATAAATAAGGACAAGTAATGCATATTAAATAATTTAAGATAATCTAATTAACCAAATTAATTAAATAGCCACTTAATCATTTAATAAAAATAATTAGTCAAATAAAATAATTAAAAATATAATTAAAATAAAAAATTAAACGCTATAAATAAAAAATTAGCCATTTTTTGATTTGTGCTCGAGCACAAAATCATGTGCTCGAGCTCTTGGGCTTGTGCTCGAGCTCTGGCGCTGAATCTTCATCAAAACTTCCCGGTTGAGTCCCAAATTGACCAGAAAGGTTCAAAATTTCTCCCAAAGCATTGGGAATATCGCCATAAGCTCTAAATACATGAAAGTATCCACATCTTTGGGTAAAGACCTACAAAAAGTAAATAAACAAAAACAAACATAAGAAGTAAGATAAAAGTATCATTATGGCATTAACATATGTGTGTTTAAGGGCTTAAATATGCAATATTCATCGCTTATCACACCCCCAAACTTACATATTGCTAGTCCCTTAGTAATACAAAACGAAACTAAAATAAATAAAATAAAATAAAACAAAAACATAAAGTCCGCTTTCGTGTGAATCACGATTGCATTTAGCGTATGCAACAACCCTTTAAACCCCGAGGTTACCCTTAGTGAATGAATTATAGTTTCGTGAGGGTTTCCAGAAATGGTACCCACAAACATCCAATATTCAGCTCATTTATCATATGTTTAGCATAGTAAAGGTATCCCGACAATAATAAAATAGAAAATTACAAGAAGTATATGGATTATACACAGTCAGTAATAACCTCGGACCTTCAACATCATGCACAACATATATATGGTCCCCACATAAAATTCAAATCCACATATCAAATAATTTCAAACTCTAGCATCCTTATAAAAGTGAACTTACATCCATTTATGTTGTTTACCATCCATGCTCATACATAATCCATAACCTTCCTCAACTTGCTAGTAAATTCTTCAAATTTTGATTCTCAATGCATAAATAATAATTTGAACACAAGTATGCATTTTTTTAATATTTGCAATTTTTTTTCTTTTTTTTTTCAACTTTTTTTTCCAATAAGAGTTTTGTGTAATGTTCGGATCCCTTAAGCTCTCTAGAAAATCCATGTAACGAGCTTTAGGTCAATGACTCCCAAACTGGCCGATTTTAGGACATTAAGTGTCAAGATACCCCAAAGGACTTAATCACTCGGGTTAACTAGATTACGAATCCGAACTAACTCTCTAACATTGCTATTTCCTAAGTTATCTACATTTAATTTTGACGTGAAATCTTAATACTTACTGAGGCAAGAGTCCCAATTACTCAGTGAAAAATAATCTAGCACACATTCCTGTCATTATGCCATAGTTCTCAAAATTTTCAAACCTACCAACTCATCTTAGTTAATTACAAAATATAACGAGATACCAAATTGATACCCCAACAGAATAAATGTAAGTGTGCTCATGTGCAAAGTGAAGTACTTTAGAAGTCAGAAATCATGAAAATATGAAAAGACTAATAATGTGGACCACTACATGCAGACATGATATCAAAAATTTTTAATTTATCCCCAAAATAGCACTAATTCCACATACATGAAGTACTAATCCATTAATGTAAAACCCCTAATTTCAAAAGGATAGTCCTGGTGTTTAATTTATTCTTTTAATTGAATTTTCAATTATTTAATTGTTTATTTGACATATTTGTTACTTGTTTAAATTGTGTATTTGTTACTTGTTTAAATTAGTGTTTAAGTTGCATGACGTGTTTAAATGTTTTATTACTTGAATTATGACTTGTTTTTATTGTTGTATTTAATCTTTATTTTTGTTTAAGTGGTTTAATTTAGTTGTTTTAATTGAATTAATTTAATTTAATATAATGGTTTAATTGTTTTAATTTAATTGTTAATTGTCGTGATTTAATTGTATTTAATTAGGGTTTTGTTTTAGAAGTCACGTTTGTAGCCGGCGTAGGTTTTTAATTAAGTTTCTTTGGACCGGTTAGGATTTCAGTTGGGGCTTGAATTAATTTAGGGTTTGGTATAACTCTATAAATATATAGTAGACGTCTGTTTAGGGTTTTAAAAACAAATAAAACTAAAACACGTCTGTGGAAATAGCAGAGAGAGAAACAGAGGAAGTTTTACAATATTTGAGTTTGCCGGAGATCTTAAAAGACGGCGTAGAGATTTTGAACAAATATCTCAAAGGCAAGTTTTGTCTTAACTCTCTCCCTTAGGCTTCGTGTTCTTTGCATGCTTAAATAGTCTCAGGATGAATTACATGTTTAAACAAAAATGTTATCTGTTTTCTTGGTTAAAATTTTAATTGTAACAGAATCTGTTTTACATTTGTTAAACTGTTTCAATTTGAAACTTTCTTGTATAGTTCTCTGTTTAAACCATATTAGTAATATAATAAGGACTGAAACAAGGGTTGGAATCTACTGGGACTAAGTTAAAATCTCTGGGAACCTAAACTGTGAAGTGCCGGAGGTGTAAACGACGACTGAAGAAGAAAAACGAGGCAGAGGAGGGAGAGAGCTGGCTCCTCGTCCAAACCAAGAAGAGCCGGTTCCAATCCAAAGAGGAGCCGGCTCTTCTTGGTTTGGACGCGGCTCCAAGACCTTTGGAGCTGGCTCCGAGGCCAATGGAGGCGGCTCCATGTTTTTGGAGCCTGCTCCATTTTGGTTTTTTTCAGTTTTCTACGTTCTGTTGGTTTTCTTTTGGTTTTCAGTGAGACAGGTGCTTGGTTATGGAATTTCTAAGTAATCTAAGAGAATTAAACACTGTAATGGATGGTTTAATAGTGGTCTGGAGTGGGATTAAAGTTCCAAGGGATTGAATAATACAGATTTAAACACCTAGTTTTAATCATTAAAACTGTATGGAATTTTTATGTGCCTTGCAGATCTGTTTGGTTTTAGATAGTGTATTTCTTAATTATTTTAGGAGTTTCTATGAGAGTTATTCACTGCTAATTTCATATCCAAAGAATAGAAATAGATGCTAAGAATCTATGTTTTCTTAAGCTTAATTGGTGATTAAATTTCTAAAATGCGGTGCATCAATCTGTTAAGCAGAAAATTATAAGTATGATAATTTACTTATATTTACGTTGCATGCCATGGAATTGAATGAGACAATATTTATTTAGGCTCTATTAATTATGAATACTGGGAAGTAAATTTATATTTACAAACACAGCTTCACGGGGTCAAGTATTAGTTCTTGTGATGTGTTTCTATGAGATGGTTTCTATATTATGTTCTCATGCTTATCATGGAATGGTTAAAATTGATATTTATATTGTCAATGCTCTATCAACTGCTAGATTTATTTAAGCATATGTGATAATGTATTCTAAAATGCTTAGTATGGA